GGGGGGGGGTAATTGGGCCCAGCTGGCAGGGGGGTGTATTGAAAAAATGACACAGGGTTGTAGGGGTAAAGTGAAAATTAATTGGCCCCTTTTTAAGTTGGCACGTACAGGGGTATTCTGAAAAGTTGGACCAGAAGCAGGTAGGGGTATATTGCAAAGATGGTTGGTATAACCGACAGGAAGGGTATCTTGCAAAGATTATCAATTGTCAGAAGGGTATGCCTGCCTCCTAAATTCAGTTCACCATCAACAACAAAGCAGTTACAAGTTATATAACAACAGTGTACATAGTGAACCGCCTAACAACCAATAACATTAAAAAAAAAAAAAAAAAAAAAAAAAAAAAAAAAAAAAAAAAAAAAAACAGTAACAACAGCTGTGTATACAAGGGTAGGAGCGCAAAAAATAGGTCCACCTATGGGACTTCTAGTGAAACGTCTATGCCTGGCGCCTGAAGTACCCGGGCGGCAAGGCTCGCTTGCTCAAATATGTTTCGATCAGCGCTGAGTGGGGTGTGTGGGGCTCAGCTTAGCCCCGGTACCTGCAACCAGTGTTCGGTCGGGTGACCCCCAGACCGGAGGGTGACGATCCTGAGTGGTAGACACTGAGGTAGGATAGTGGCAGTAGGAGTGCACCGGGAAGAGATTACGAGGGTGGTAGGTTGGGAGGGAGTCCCATAGGATTAGGGGGACTCTACCACATGGCCGAGTGTCAATGGTGACTCTCACCTGTCTGTAATCCAGCCTCTACAACAACCTGGATTTCCGGAAAAAAAAAAAAAAAAAAAGACGAAGAAGAAGACGACGAAGAAGAAGCAGAAGCAGAAGAAGAAGCAGAAGCAGAAGAAGAAGCAGAAGAAGAAGGGTATTCCGCTCACATATATCTCATCTTTGAGGGGTATAACGCAAATTTCCCCAAAGGAAAAAAAACAAAAACAAAAAACAAAACGAAACAAAGAAACAAATGCCCCTAACCGTCGCATCACATCCGGGACATCCACTAAAATTGGAACGATACAGAGACGAGTGCCATGGCCCCTTAGCAAGGATTTCATGCATAAATCGACAACTGGTTCACATTTTGGTTGCTTTTGTTTGTTATCCAAGGTGAAAGAGGGGTGTTTGGTTGGAGGAGGATATGAGGGAGGAGGAGGAGGAGGAGGATATGAGGGAGGAGGGGGAGGAGGAGGAGGAGGAGGATATGAGGGAGGAGGGGGAGGAGGAGGAGGAGGAGGAGGAGGAGGAGGAGGAGTGGGAGGAGACGAAGGATGCGAAGCCTGGGTGGCTGCAGAAGCTCAGGGCGAATAGAGATATTTCAAGAAGAGCAGGTCAGGCCCGTCAGGGCAAATTGAGGACAGGTATAATTGGAAGGGGAGGAAGAAAAAAAAGGAAGGGGAGAAACCCAGGCAGAAAAAGTAACAGCAGATTCTTCATTGACCAATCAGGTGGGGCATACAAATGGTGCATCCTTGTGGGCCACCATTGGTTGTGTTTTGCTTGTTCCATATTTGGAATACTGCAGTGGAAAAACTGGCAGTAGGGAAACATGTCTATCTTGTAATCAATCAAGCTTCGGGGCAGATTTTTCCGGATACCTCTTCCTCAAAGATCTTCCACCCTACCCGTGCTATATTCATGGGAAGTCACACAACCTAGAGCCGGGTTTCTTGCACGCCAACAGAGCACATGTAGCACCAGCAATGCCCTTTTTTGGTACTTCTCATTTTTGGGGAAACTACGCGGGAGTCACAAAAATGAGTTATAATTGCACTATATGCGCCAAGATTCGAGTTGCCGTTTCGGCAATTTATACGACCCAGCTTTCTTGCCAGGTAGGGTGCCCGAAGTGCAATTGCCAACTTTATCTTGCCCCATAGTGCAATTATAACTCCTTTTTCTCACTCTACTGAAGTTACCCCTTCATTTTTTCTTCTTTTCTGACAAAGCATCCAAAGCTCCCATCTATCAGCACTTTCCAGAAATCGGGCTCAGCAGTCCAAACCAAGTTTTTCTTTTCTTTTTTTTGTTTTCGTGGGGTGGGTGGGGTGGGAAATAGGGTGTTATCCAGCGGCCTAGCTCAGTTGGTAAGGCACACAAGTGGCATTCAGGAGGTCTTGGGTTCAATTCCCATTGCCCTCATGTACCTTCCTGGGCAAGTTTGGCGCCCGCCAGAGGGGACCGGAGGGGAGGCACAGTGACTGGCCCATCGGGTCCTGATGCTACCGGCTGACCCCTGGCCGGTATCACCCACCTGCTGTAGCAGGTATCGCACCCGCTGTAGCAGGTATCACACCTGCCGGTGAGTGCAGCCCCCGCATGTTCCCTCGTTGGAGTCTTGAGCACGGATGTGGCTGCTACGGGGTTCCCCGTAATACTATAATGACAGTAAAAAAGGCCTCAAAGGGCCGTCCTGTCCAGATTCGACACGTAATTGAATTGGTTGGGCCCCTGTATTCCCGTTACACAGAAGACAAAAATCTGGCCCTTTTTCTACCGGTCACCCTGTGGGCCAAATCACAGCCAGTTTCAGACGGTACTATCGGCTAGCGCTCTTGGCATCTT